AACACCCCAAAAATAATATATTTTCAACATACATCTGCTATATCTTAGGATAAAGGATCATATATTCTGCTTTTCTGAGTGCTTCTATGCAAACCAAAGGCACCACTCCAACGGATGACGTTGTGAATTTGGATCTTTGCATTTTGGGTTTAGGAAGGTGAAGGAAAACTTGCCAGGCTGGGACAAAGCAAACGTTCCTGTGCTGAGCACACTACTGCATTACTCACTGCTACCACAACAAGGGCCGATGAGGAAAGACTGGTGTGAGTACTTAGGAGTTCACTGACAAGGAAAATGAAAACATCTAACAACGACTGCGTCTCAAAGCAGCTGGCAGGATGTGTTGTGACACCCCACAAAAGGATTAGATGGGGTTTAATGAGGATGAGGAACACTCAACATCTGCAAATCCCAGAACTACGCAGTTACGGCTTTGGACCTGTAGCAGGTGGGGCAGGAAAGCACCCACCTCTGTACACCCCCTTACCCCCCCCAGTGCATGCATTACAGACACCAAGGCCACCCCACCTAGCAGCAGGAGTCAGCCCCATCTGCCAACTTGCAGTAAAAAGGAATCTAAGTGCCAACAGGTGCCACCTTCCAGCTGTAGAGGAACGTTTTCACATTGGGTGGGTACCAAGCGAAGCTCGCAGTGGAATTCAGGACCCTCTCTGCAGTGAGCACAGCTCCTGTGAAGTGGTTTTTCCCCTTGAGGGGACATCTTCTAAGCATAAGCAGGGATGGATGGGCCAGCAGGGAGCAGGACCTCGCAGGGACACGTGTCTGAAGGGCACCTCGTTGGGCAGACAGCAGCACCCAAGCGAGGGCATGGTGAAACCCTGGGTGCTGCAAGGGGGGGGATGCTCCACCAGCAACTGGTCTTGTTCAAATGCACAATTCCCCCCAAACGACAGCCCCAGCTCAGGCAGCCAGCCCCATGGCCAGCACAGGAAGGCAGGTGGGTGCTCCTGCACCAGGGACCAACAGCAGGAGATGACCAA